ATATATATATATATATATATATATATATATATATATACACACATTCTCTAGTACACACTCTCTAGTAACACAGTAAGATCTAGCAACAAATCTCATGATTATCATAATTTGGAAGTAGAGATGAGTGCTAACTATAGTTCAAGATACCTGCAAAAACAATAATGTGATATGAAAATATTTGTGATTTCACCAGCCACTCCTCGAAAGGAAGGTTGGGCAATCTACTTCTGCAGTGATACTGCCTCAGAAACCCAAGGAGGGGTCGCTATGAGTCGGGGCTGACTCGAGGGCACATAACATCAACACAACAACATTGGTGACAAAGTGACAGGGTAGCGGCACTATTACTTTGGTTGTAGTCTGTGTTCATAATTGAAGGAATGGTGAGTTTCAGGATGAAAACTCAGGATGAAATTTTTTTTCTCTGCCCATGTTCATGGACTCATAAATTATTTATTCTATCCAATTTTCACAGAAAACGCTGGTCTAAGAGAAGCCTTCCTAGAACTCTTCAAACTTAAGTAGACTACTGAGGAACTTGGCAGGAAGCTATCCTTCTAAACAAAAAGAACAGGGACTCCACAAACTGAAGACAGTTGAAGTGTTTGGTGAGAAAAAATGAGTAGCCTACAAAACAAGTATATTTCAGAAACCTACAGAAACTAGAAAGCCTCCCTCTTCTTCTTCCTATTCCCACTTAGGACAAATATTCACTTTCAGAACCTGGCTTTGTGATTCAATGACGATGGTCATACCGTAAGACCTGGAACTGTGACCAGAGAGCTTATTATTAGAGTCATCAAGGCACTGGGATAAAACACAAAAATGAAAAAGTGGCACTTTTGCATTTACAACTTAGGAAGTGAATGCTTCTGAAAAAACAAACTGCAATTTATTGAGAAGGAAAAGTGGCCTTACTTTACACAGTATCTCTTATCTCAAAATCCCTGACTGAACAGTGACACTCCCTGGTATTTTAAGGCATTAACACAACACAACTTAATGGTTAAGAATGCAGGTTCTGGGGTCAAACTGGCAAGGTCTGAGTACCGGCTTGACTAACAGTGTGAGTCAAGGCATCTCACCTTTCTAATCCTACTTCCTACCTGAAAAAGAACCATTAGATGAATTATATATGTTAAACTGTTTAGTGCAGAGCCAGGCACAAAGGATAAAGAGGTCAATCAATGTCAGCTATTGTTAAAGCATTCTTAATAGTTCCGGAAAAGGAACAAGTTCTCCCTCCCCACTCCAACCCCATTACCTCTGTCAAATAGCCTGTTGCGTTCACAAACTTTTCAAATTCAGCATTACTGACTTCATAGGCATCCATGTAAAAGGCATCGATAGTGATTTTCCGGGCAGGTGCTTCCCCATCCTGCTGTATCTGAGGATCATCTGTGCCCATTGTGAATACTCCAGCAGGGATGCGGACCATCTGCAGTGAAAAGGGAAAGGGAACATCACAGTCAAAGAGGCTCACCCAGGCAAATTCCTGGCAATACTTGATAAACCCCACTATCCTTCAGAAGCCTCTGTATAATTACTAAAATCACTAGTCACAGAAGAAATGAAAACTCTTTAGCAAAGTAATTTATTTAGTTAAAATTCTCCCAAATCTGTGCATGCATGGAAACAGGTCTGGGATAATAGTCAACAAGCCACTAAGGGCTACAGAGAAGAGGCAAAAAGAATGCTCCACATTTTCCATTATACATTTTTATATTTTTTTTTTCCTTTTATATGCATTTGTTTATTTTTAAGTATTGTTAAAATAAAATGTAAAACTGCCATATATAACATTTTTAAATATCTACTAAATGAATTTTGGCCTCCAATGATAATGAAAAAGACTTAAATAACTAAAACAGAAAACCTAAAAATTTTACCAAGGAACCATGCCTTGTGTAATTCCTAATTGCAACTACTTGTTAAGTATCTACCTTCCCAGATGAACTCTAAACTCCAAAAGGACAGAGACTGTGGCTGCCTTTCTTATAATTGTTCCCAGCACTAAGCAAAAAGTCTGAGGAGCATACTGAAAATTTCAGTGCAAAAATATGGGCCAATCTTCTACATCATTAGTCAGCAGGAAAATACAAGCCAAAATCACAATGAAATAGCACTTCACACCCACTAGGATGGCTCTAACCAAAGAGAAGACCAATAACAAGTGTTGGTGAGGATATGGAGAAATTAGAACCCTCACACATTGCTGGGGAGAATGTAAAAAGGTACAGCTACTTTGGAAAACAGTTTGGCAATTCTTCAAAAAGCTAAAAGCATAGTTACCATATGACCCAACAATTCTGCTCCAAAGTACATATGCAAAAACTTGTTCACCAATGTTCATAGCACCATTATTCATAATAGCGAAAAAGTGGAAACAACCCAAGTGTCCATCGATGAATGGATAAATAAAACGTAGCGTATCCTTTTTTAATAAATGACGTTGAGAAAACTGGATTTCCACATGTGGAAAAATGAAACAGGATCTATCCCTCATACCATACACAAAAACAAATTCAATGTGTATGAAGGACATAAACGTGAAAACTAAACCCATAAAACTTTTAGAAAAAAATGCACTGTAACACTCCTGGAGCTACCTATTAAAAATGGATTACCTTACATGGTAACAAAAGTACAAACAGCAAAAGATAAATTAAATTAATGGGACTTTATAAAATTAAAAATGTTTATTCATCAAAAGACTGTACCAAAAAAGTGAAAAGATAAGCTACCAACTGGGAGAGTATCTTCAGAAACCACATATTTTAATAAGAATCTAATAACCAAAATATACATACAAACTCATCAACAAAATGACAATCCAATCGTAAAATGGGCACATCACTTGAATAGACATTTCATCAAAAAAGATATTCAAAGGGCCACCAAACACATGAAAAGATATGCAACATCATTAGCCATCAGAGAGATGCAAATCAAAACCACAATGAGAGATATCATTTCACTCCCACTGGCATGGCTGAGATTTTTAAAAATAGTAATAAGCAAAATGAACATAGAAAATAACAAATGTTGGTAAGGATGTGGGAAATTGGAACCCTTATCCACTGCTGATGGGAAGGCAAAATGGTACAACCATTGTGGAAAACAGCATGGAATTTCCTCAAAAAACTAGAAATAGAGCGATCATATAACCTAGCAATTGTACTTCCACATATATACCCAAAAGACTTGAAGCAGAGACTCAAACAGAGACTTGTACACCAGTATTCACTGCAGCACTATTCACAACAGCCAAAAGGTAAAAACAACCTAAATGTGTATGAATGGATGTTGTTCTTGTTGTTAAGTGCCGTAGAGTCGTTTCCGACTCATAGCGACCCCATGCACAGCCCCATGCACAGAACGAAACACTGCCCGATCCCGCGCCAGCCCCACAATCCCTGCTATACTTGAGCCCAACATTGCAGCCACCGTGTCAATCCATCTCGTTGAAGGCCTC